TTTTATTAATTTACTCATCCATATCATTAGAATGCTGGAATTATGAGCCAGTAAAACGTCCAAATATAAATGAGGTAATCTTATCGCTCAAAAATTTAGTTTCACTCGAAATACGTGAGGTTATAACTGAGATAAGTTTTGAAGATTATAATAAAGGAAGTACTTCATTTGTAAATACCGAATCCGATCTTAAATCTGATGAATTAAGTGAAAAATTTATAGATGATAATGATTTGGAATTATTAGATGAATTCAACCAATTTGAGATTATAGAATCTGAATTTACAAACAATTCAAGCTTGCTAAAACAAAAGATAAGTAATCCGACTTTTCAAGTTAAATATTTATCAAGAAGTTCATTAGATTCATTGGAATCAATATACAATAAAACAAAAATAATAATATTATTGATTATGTAATTAAAAAACATGATAAAGGTTATACTTTTGATGAAATTGAAGATATTATTAAAAAGTCATTATTGAGATTAAATCAAAATATGAAAAATCTTTTAAATTGGCTTAATAAAAATCAAGATAAGCTACAATATATATGGTTTCTTGGATTGCTTTATTATCACAATATTGACATAGTTGAAGATAGTTGTAAAGCATTTGAATTATTTTTAAAAGCAGCAAAAGATAATAATACAATTGCGCAAGTTTATCTTGCTAAATGCTATTATGAAGGATATGGAACTGAAAAAAGTTATAAATTAGCTTTTGAGTATTATCAAAAATCAGTAGAGAATGGAAGTATTTTTGGGCAATTTTATATAGGATATTGCTATGCATTTGGTATAGGAGTACAGCAAAATAAAGAGAAATCAATAGATTGGTATAAAAAAGCAACTAATAATGGTAATATTACTGCAAGGTTCTACTTGGCAAATTGTTATAGGTTAGGTGATTCAGTTAAAAAGGATGAAACTAAAGCTTTTGAATATTATATTATATTAGCAAACAAAGAAATTTCTGATGCACAACATCAACTTGGAAATTGTTACTATTATAAGATTGGAACAGAAATAGATAAGGATCAAGCTTATTTTTGGTATAATAAAGCAGCATGCAATGGAAATATTGTTGCAAAATATATTTTAGAGAAAAATTATAATAAAAAATTTAATCCTAAAAAGGATAAAAATGAAAATCTTTTTAAAGCAATATATTTTGAAAGATTAAGACGTATTGGAATTAATAATTATAATGGAATTGGAACTAAACTAAATTATAAAAAAGCATATAATTATATTCATAAAGCAGCAGAAAATGGAAATATAATTGCACAATATAATTTAGGAAATTGTTTTAAATATGATAAAGGTATAGAAAAAAATGAAAGAAAAGCTTTAAATTATTTAAAAAATCAGCTGAACAAGGATACTTAAATGCACAAAATAATTTAGCTTTTTGTTATCAAAATGGAATTGGAACTGAAAAAGATGAAGTTAAAGCTTTTGAATTATATAAAATTGCAGCTGAAAAAGATGATGTTGATGCACAAAATAATTTAGCTTTTTATTATCAAAATGGAATTTGAACTGAAAAAAATGAAGTTAAAGCTTTTGAATTATATAAAATTGCAGCTGAAAAAACATTTTGTTAATGCATAAAATAATTTAGCTTTTTGTTATTAAAAGGGATTAAAGCTTTTGAATTATTTAAAATTGCAGCTGAAAATGGATAAGTAATAGAAAGAAACTTAAAAAGGCTTTTAACTGGTTTCAAAATATCAGCAGAATCCATATGGGTAATATGGGTTGAATGTTATAAAAATCAGGTTCTGAGAATGTTTTAACAAAATTGATATTTTTATTGAATTTTAGTTTATAATGTTATTTGATTAAAATTCATTAAGCTCTTAATTTTGGTTAAAAATTTCTTAGTACCTGATTTCCTAGAAATTCTTTCATATATCAACAAAGATTACTTTAGAACTTTATTGAACAAACTATATTCTTGGAATTGTTTATAAAACATAGAAATGATAAAATTGTAACATTTGGAGGGTTGTCAGTAGAAAAGGGGGAAATCAACTTTTTAGTCAAAAATTTTTTTATTTGTTCACTCTGCTGATCATGGTCATGTGAGCAAAACTAGCTTAATTACTCAAAATTTGTAGATTTCCCCCTTTTCTATTGACCGCCCCCCATTTGTAAGCAAATTAAAGTTCATTCAAATATGCATCAAATTTAGGCATTGAATATCTTCGTTCTTAAATTTGTATTTTGAAAGTATACAAATAATCAATTAAGTACAGATATACGACGTTACGCGATATTATAATATTTTCTATTGTGAGGCTAAAAAATAAAAAAAAAAGAATAGCAATAAAAATACCGTCCTAAACAAGAGGGGAAATAATACAGAATTGCACAAAATAACAAATAATATAAGACATCCGATATGGTTTAATAATAATAAATAAAATACCAAACCTTGGAAGGACTGAAGAATTTAATGAATAATTTAATTTTGAAGTAAAATAAGTTAAACTTTTATGAATGCATTATTATTTCCATTCTTTAATGTAATCGAAAGAATTGCTTTGAAATAATTAAAAAAAATTAATTATCAACATGAAGGTTAATAATATTTTTGTTTGGCCGTAGTTCTTCCCATTTTCAACTTCTCAATTATTATTCAAGTTATTTCATGAACTTTGCAGAGAGAAGAATATCAATATTATATTTCTGGAACTCTACCATTTCTTCTTTTAACCCATCATTAGTCTTTCTTATATCATTCTCCAATTAAATTTTACCTTTCCCGATGTTTCATTATAGCTTCGCTTGCTTCTTGAAGTACTTTTCACACTTTCTTTTGAACTTGCTCATTATCTATTTTTGAACTTGCAAAGCCTGCATTACCTTCAAGCTACTCTTCCACTATTTACAAATTTTAAACGTGCTGTATTAAGGATCGTAAACCTTATAATATTAACATGTATTTTGACGTTAGATAATAACAAATAATTCTGGTTGCGTTTTTTTTTTTTTTTATTTTTTTTCTTTTCTCAATTTTTATGTGAAATAATTTATTAACTTGCAAATAATGAAATGAAAGAGTATTTAGTTTTTTTGAGATTTTGGTTCCTTTAGTATCTAATATAATGATATTTAGTAACTAAATTATATTCCAAAGTGATCAATAGGTAGGTAGATAATAATTTGTAACGATTTGATTTAATAAACGGATTTCGGAAGTATAGTCCCCGACGTTGAGGCAACATTTATTAATTGATTTGATTAAATAAATTTACATCATACTTAAAATCAAAATCTTCTGCTTATTGTGTTATAATGTAAACATAAAAAACTGGACTTTGACTTCTTGAAAAAAATTATATCTAATTTCTCCTGTTATTTTTTGACATGTAAAGACCAAATGGTTAACCATTTCATGGGCTTTTCTGACCTTTCTTTTTTAACCAGTTAAATAAAATAAATAAAATTTTAACAATTGAACAAAATCCATTTTAAACTAAATAAAGCATCCCATATTGAAATTGTAATCCAAATTCTAGAAATTCTGCTCATAGTTTTTATTATTTTGTTTATTACATAATTATAATAACATGTCACTAGGAATAGATAATAAAATTAACGACAGAGAATATTTGCATCCGTTTAAATACTCAGAAATTTTGACACCGTTTGATTCCTCGTGACAATTGAAATAAAAAGAGAGTTGAAAAGTCAATAAGAATTTGGACAAACAGGTAATCAAAGGAACAGAAGAGTTCTTTTAATACAATAAGACTGTATATAGCAAACGATTCAAACAATCTCAAAACTTGTAAAAGACATAAATATCCTTGCCATTAGGACGGTTTGACATTGACATTAGATTGTATACTTATTAAGAACACAAAACAGTTTAACGTTTCTCTTGAAAAGAATAGTGACCTGAATAAACTTATAAAACTTAAATACTTTGATTATTTTCTTTTAGGAAGATCAAATGACGTCATTTGCAATCATTATCACGTGCGAACTTTATTAAAATTGGAAAAATAACATTAACTATTTATTAGAATTATTCTTGTTCAAATGATTGGTAAAACACATATACTACAGTACAATACATTTTTTTTCCTCACCAAGAAATTTTTTTTCATTCGACTAATTTCTCCTCTACCTCGTTCGAAACGGTATCAATTACTTTATTCATTACTTTGTCATAATAATGAGTAGGTATTAATTTAAATACAGCAAGCTTGAACATCAATAATTTCTGTGAAAAAATAAGAGATGAGCAGAGAATTAACCAACAATTTTTTCTTTAAAAAAAAAATAAAAATAAAAAAATTAAGATACATTACCAACATATGAGCCTGGTCAGCTGTAAGTCGGTCACCATATTTACAAATCGTATAATCCTGATCTAATACCAGGTAACCTTTATCCACTCGTACAGGTATTCCCAAACTTTTTAACATTTGTTCTTGAAAAGCTATCACGTAATTATCAGTGTTATGATATCTCAAGTTTCCAGCCGGAAGAATTATATCTTTATCAATGTATGCACCGGTTCTGGCATAATCTTCAAATTGCGTCTTTGAGAAATAAGACAGAACATCATCCACCGGTTCATCAGTGAATAATATCCCTCCTTCTCCAGTCAACTCCTTTGATCAATAATAATATTATAATTAATAAAGCGTTTGAAATTCAATATAAAAATGTTAAAAAATAAAATTAATCTTTAGAAATTAAATTTACCTTTGAAAATTGGGATACATTTACAGATTGTTCATCACTTTCATTACTACCTAACGCTTTTATCATAATTGTTTTCTTGGTAAAGAATAACCTTTTGCGTAAAAGAAAAGTTATAAAAAAGAAATAATTTACTAAAAGTAAAGATGCATCTCATTCAGAATATCACAAACCTTCCCTTATCTTTCCAATCTGCTCGAATCTGTTGTAAATATTCATTTCTCATATCCTCGGGGGTGATCCTCCATATATACCTATATTTAGATAAACTTTGCCGAATCTATTAAATTATATAATCAATTTTATTTCAGGGAAAGGGAAAAAAAATTTTCCTTTTATTTAGCGATCATTTATCATTGTGAGTGTCTAAAGCAAGAGATGTACAAAATAAGTTGACTTGCATTTTCGATAGCTTTGGACTTGTCACTACGAGGTTTCTTTTTAGTTACATGTAATAATAAATCTGAAAATAAATGAAAGTTAGTTACGTTTGACTAATATTAAATCTATAAAATCAATTTAAACATTTTACCGCTTCTTCTCTTTTTAGATCTTGCCATTATGATGTGATGTGAAAAAATAATTTGAAAAAAAAAAAAATTTTTCTGGCATATTATAAGTGCGTCAATGATCGTTACACGGCATGCGCATGAGTGTATTGCAACAGCAAATGATCTATCCTAATTTGATGATTATTCTGTCAAATTTCTTTGTATTGTTAAAGGTGACACAAAATAAATTTAACATATCAATCATTGTAGATTTACTTCAAATTAATAAATAAACCTTGTCATAAAAAGTGGAATTTTATTTTGTGGTCATAAAATCCATAAATAATATCATAAATAATAAAATAAAGAATATCGGTTGGAGGCGCAGTAGTTCTTCAAAATAATATATGAAAAAAATTCATTGTCGCAAATAATAATAAATTGAGAAAAAAGTACGATACTTTATTTTTTTTTTTTATTAAAATTCAACATAAGAAATTGAGTTTTACTTAAATTTTTTACCAATATTGAAGAAAAATTTCCTTTTCCCTTGGAATTCTATCCAGGAAATTACGCTCTTGAACAATATACTCTAAACGTGGAAACACCCTTAATTCGTCGAAAATATTCAGAATGAAAAATACCAAAGTTTTATGTTAATCATTTATTTTTTATAGGTCGTTTATTGGTTGTGATCATTACGATTCATATTAGCATTAATGATTAGGTTATGCATCAAAGAAAAAATACCTGTCTTGCAAAAAAAAAAAAAAAATCTTTTCAAAAGAAACGAAGAATCTAAACTCTTTCGTTTGTTGTTACGAGAATTTGTTATCGAACTATGGCAATTCTACATTAGAAATGTCCTAAAAAGAACATTGCTTAGGAGACCCTTGTTATTATTTTGCACTGTTTTCTAAATAATTCAACAACATCTTGTGCGAATAACCTATAATTAGGTTAGTTAATATGAATGCCCAATACGCTACTGCGGCTAGGCTAGTTGAGTGAAAGCCATAAAGTTACAAACCCACGATTTGAATTAGATTGTGGCGATTAATGTTAAATTTTAAAAATTTGCGCGGCCGGAGTCAATCAAATGTACTGTATATTGTATAAAGAACATTTTCATAATTTTTTTTTTTTTTGAAAAAACTAAATAAATTTTAACGGATTAAGAACATGAGCTGATATTATCTCAGAATATGATTCAAGGAAATGGTCAAAATTAGAAGTGAGATGAGCGTTAATAATTGTATTGTTAATTGGAAACTTGGCTCACAATGTTCAATTTAGTAGAAAAAAAATTTTTAATGTCTGATAAGAGCGTTTCATCCGGCGATTTACAAGTATAAAACCACATCTTGTAAACACATGAGGTATTAAAAAACAGCATGAATTAGTTTAATTAATAACGATGAAATTTTAAAATTATGAAGTTGAAAATTTTGTAAGTTTTTTATTTCATTGAAATAGTTGCCATCTATATTACGCGAGAGGTTTTTGCGGTAAGTTCATAGAATTCAAATATTCTTTACGTAATATTTACATTTAAAATTTTTTTTTTTTTAACAGCCATTAATTTTGGGGATCAGACAAGAAATGTTATTTTTATTGTCCGTAGTGCCATCAAGTTTTTTAACTGGTCAAGCAGCATTTATTGACTGATGTATTTCGATTATTTAAATCATTTAGAATTTCCTCGGTACATTGCCTCGCGCAGGAGTTTAAGTAATATATTCATCTAACAGAAAGGAGGAGGTCATTGGAACAATTAACTTTAAATTCTTTAGCGAAGCAATTTTATAGGACGCATGTAGAAGTGTTTCTTATAATTTATAAGTTGTCGCATTATATGATGTTCCTACTTATTTCTTTTGCCAGAAAACTTATAACCCGAGACCAGAAAATAATAATAGGGATGTTAACGATCCTAAGCGGTCCAAGAAAATTACAATAAATTATTTTTACAAATTTAATATTAAACTTGTCTATTATAATGTTTTAATGAGCTACTTAATGAAAATAAATAATAAACCCTCTTGGATCCCAGAATTTCCTAAATTTAAAATTTTAGGATTTAGGACTGGGTCCTTAGGACCGGTCCCAATTTTGAATATCATATTCGCTTTTTACAATTAAATTATAAAATATTTATGCCATTTTTTTGACGGGGTTACTTATTATAGAAAAGTGATTAGACTTCTCTAGAGATAGTAATCTATAAAATCGTTAGGACCTGTTAAGGAACGCTTAACATCCCTAGATAAAAATCATTTGTTCACCAATATTATTATTACGATATCCTTTTGTTATGTTATATTGGATATGGATAGTAGCGATTCATTATGTAGTCAACTTTCTTATATCCAAAAGTTTAAGTTATTTGCGGATGGTATCCTTATCATCCGGAGTATTGGGTGTTATGTAATCTCGAATTTCCAAATAAAAAGAAATTCCATGATGGAGTTTATTATCCCGAATTACTTAACGCGGCATTTTGGAGTCACGTTGACTTATTTATTTTATTTGGTTGAAGGTTAGACAGAAATCTCTACATCGCTTATCCTATAGATCCAATGGTATTGAGACATTTATATCACAAATTATTGTGAATTTAATTGATCCACTTTCGGACGCTAATGTTACGGTTATAGATCACGAGTCGCTCTACTATGTTGATCGCACCTTCAGATGGTATTTGTTGTATTGGTTGGACGGGATTAAAATGACTTCATCCGTAAAATTTACATATGCATATTTTTCTAATCGATTAAAATAATTTCTCAGAAATAATTTTTTTTTGCTTACATAATATACAGATCATGTGATATAATTTACATTTAAAATTATAATTCAGGAAGTTTAAAAATATATCGATATATTATATATTTAAGAATCATCGTTATAGGTTAAAAATAACTAATCAAAATTTTGTAATATCAATCTGTCTAATTTCATCAAAGTGTCACGCACGTTATGCTTTTTCTTAAGTCATTTCATTGAGTCACATCACAGAGTCACAGATTCATCGAGAAATAAAAATGGAATTATTATACTTACATTCACAATGTTTATAGCAAGTTTTGCATGTTTCGCATTTTGTAAGCTCAGCACACCTTCCATAATCTTCAAATCGCGTACACTTTCGGTCACCTTTAATAAAACGAAAAAGTTAGTGGTTATTTAAAAAAATCTAGACAAATGACTCTGTGACTCTGTGACTCATTAAAACTTACTCATTTCATACGAAATATATTTTTAAAAAAAAAAAATTCGAAATGAAAAAATTGTCCTTTATCCCTTAAGCTGTAGAGGTTCGCAGGAAAATTTGCCTGGCCAAAATTCTTTAACCAGTTAATATCCAGTTAAAAATATTCATTAACTAGTTAAAATTAACTTATATCAGTACTATAAATTTAACTAAGTTAGACAATATTTTGCAATCATAAAAATTTTAATTCTGGCTAGAAATTGAATTTTGATTAAAGCTAAATTCATCTATTTTAACCAGTTAATATATTAATTGCTTTAACCAGTTCTAATTTTTATTATCAAATAAATCTTTCAAAATTACTTTTTATTCTAAGAAATATCATCATTTTAATTTGCATCAAACTCATTTTGTTAAATAAAATTTGAACGAAAAAATATGAAAAAAAAATTTTATATTAAAATGTCTTTCATTTTTATTTAATTAATTTAATATTGCATGCTTATTAAATAATAGATACAAAATATTTGAATATCTAATTATCTGGTTATCCATTCATAATTGGAGATAATCAATTAATTAACCAAATAGGTCAATATTTTTATCTAATTGATCATCATAATTAGTTAGTCATATCTGGATAATTTGATTATAAATTAAATGATTTGGATCTCTAAAAATAAGTATCTTTAATATTTTTATCAATTTTAAGATTATCAGTTGGAATATCAAAAAGATTTTAATATCATTTTTATATATTGTATTTATTACAATTACTCTATTAAAAAACAGTTTTTCTATAATCTAAATTACTTTTTTTAGCATTTAAAATTAATTATTTTAGTAAAAAAATGACATATTAAGCTATTATTAAATTTTATTTAATTATATAATTCTATTTTATATATAGAAAGAGTTATTTAACTTTTTTATATATTTTTTTTAAAAGTTATAAAAACTGATTGTATAGTTTTAATTGTATTATTTAAGATCTATAAATATTTAATTTATTTTATATTAATACTTTTGAATAATCTGTTTCTTTTTTTTTAGAATTTTACAATATAGATTATAATATTTTTATTTTCAAGTAATTTAAAAAATATATTAGATAGCGAAAAAAATTTATAATATTAAACAAGTGGTATTATTATTTTTATAATTAAAGATAAGAATTTTGTATTTAATAAGATAATTCTCTTTTATTACTTAAAGTGTCAAATTAAAATTAAAATAAATATTAAAAATTATATGATTACTAGTAATTGACTAATTAGAATTATTGATATCTATATTAAATGTAATACTAAGAAAGATGTATTTAGCAATTTAAAATATGCTAAAAAAAATATTAAGAAAAAGTTGAAGCTATAAAAAAAAGAATTAATACAGAATAAAAAAGCTTATAATTTTAATATAAAATTATTAAATAATTATCTTATATCTAAAATATATATTAAAAAAAAATATAAAAAAAATATAGTATTTAAAAATAATGTAAATTCTTACAAATTTTATATTATTTTATATGTTATTTTATATGTTTAATTGCTAGTTAAATATCTTATAAGATATTTAGTATATCTTTGTTTAATTTATAAATTACTAAATATCATTAGAATTTAAAACAAAATATCTTAATAACTAATAATTGAATTTTGATGTTTTTAGATTTATTAAAATACCTTTCATATTATTTTATATTTATACTAAATTTTAAAAAATTAGTTAGTTAGTTATTAAATTATTATGTCTTATAAATTTAATATAAAATTAGTTTAATGATTAATTACATATAAAAAGAAAGAATAAATTTAGACTAGATTAGTAAGAAATTTAAAAATTATATAAAGTT